CCTCATGATTTTTAAGCATTTTATGGTTTAGCGTGGAACGGGATTGGACCTGGCGGCCCGTGGCTTTGATCTCTATTCCATCATAGGATGAGACAAAGTACGTACAGTGAGACTCGGGCGTGATAAACAGAGATGCTCTACAACGTTTAACACCCAGTCCGACCGGAGCTGACGCCATGGTCAGAAGGAGCCAATCAAGAAGCGTCAAAAGGGCATCGTTACGGTGCTCGTCCTCTTTTTCTGAGTTTGCTATAACCGACCAAACGAATCACGCTCGGTAAATGCGCCTTGATCCTGTTGTTGTACTTGTTGTTTTTGTGATTGATTCGGCCGGTGATAAGAAAGGCAAAGCATATTTTTGCCTTGTCATTTGCCAAGCTCCCTCTGTAGATTGCAGTCATTACCTCTCTCAAGTGCTTTGTGGGAACGTAGACGCTCCAGTTTTTCTAGAGTGTAGTTATAGACACGGATAGCCGGGAAAAATGATGAATAAACGCCGAGGAATGCCGAGGCATGCCGAAGAATACCGAAGAACGCCGAAGGCCGAAGAATGCCGAAGACCCCTTGCTACGGTACATCGTATAGGTCGAAAGGGTGAATAGTCGCTGGCATGATTAAGAACGGCAGAAATGTTTTTCAGTTGTGCCGCTTCCCGCGCGAGGTTCGTATACTTTCAATAACGCTTGCGCGTCTCGCGAGCCTCGAGCGTGCACGTGCAGGCAAAGTACGACGGAGAGGAACGAGAGCGGGGTGGAGGCCAAGCGTCCGAGGTACCGTACCACGAAAGGGCTTCTGGCTGCAGGTGCCAGCTTCAGAATTTGTGCGCTCCTCTCGCTTTCCGGTGTCACAAAACACGACCGTGCTAGGCTGCGGAGATCGCACGCTGGGCTGCGAATTTGTAAACGTGGGAAATATGTATAGTCGGTGGAGTTCTTCGGCCTAAGCACCACTGAAAAAAACGAAATTCCAAACGCGCGCCCTGGTGAGATCGTGCGAGTCGGGTTTCCGCGCGGTGCAGTTGTTCGTCTGCTTTAATTTTCCCTCGATAGCGGTTGCCACACTGCGAAGTTGGAAATGCCAGAATGGTTGCTGCTCCTTTTGTTATGTCCATGCTCGCGTGATAGATATCTAATTATTTCATTTTCGCGGACTATTCAAAATTGGTTTGATTCAAATGACACATGCGACGTGACAAAATATTTTATAAGTTGATCACCCATACATAAGCGAAAGCATCTTTACATGTAATTTTTTTATTCCATTCTCTGCTGCTTTGCGTGTGCCTTCTGGCTTGCTCGCTCCGTTGTTGGGTCATAATACTCATGCAGAAACTAGTGAAAAACAAAAATGGATATTAAAAACTTTTGATAGTGAAAAACAAAAGTAGATATTAAAAACTTTTGAAAGGGTTTATTAAAAAAACATTAAACGTGGAAGGTTTCTCACTGGCTTCATGGGCAAATGTAGATGACTACTTTAAAATATGTGATTAGGAAATGTATTTTGTTTATCAATTCTCTATTGTTGGTTGCATGCAAAAAGGATAACTTTATTTATTAGTGTACGAGAGTTATTTCTGTTCCTCGCTTTCATCTCTGTTAGTGAGGGGTCCGATTTCAAGATTGACCCTGATGACGGTCTGTGAAGCTCTGTTCGAATGCCGCCACGTCATCGGCCTCTTAGAAGCAGCGCCAGTTCGTGGCAGTATATGGCTCTCTCGTGGAGTTACTTAGTCCTGAATGGGACTTGGCGGAAAACGCTAACGGGTCTACTACGTTGTATATGTTAACTTCCACATTGCTTCCGCAACGTGCATTCCACACCCTCAAGATCGCCGTTTTGTGCAGACGTTAGGTAGGAGCTTAATTTGAGCGTGCGAGGACCTCTGTTAAGCAAACCATAACCCCCCCTCGGATTCACTGTGAATAACGCGCTCATATATGACACCCAGGTGATTCCTTTTATACATAGCTTAAAGCCGGCTAACACACTTGCGTTTGAGTGCGTTTGACTGCGTTGCGTCGAGAACCGAAAACGAGTCACCGTCACATCTGTGCTTCGTATGAAGCGTGGAATCCAATTCAAGGAATCATCTTGTCACGCGATAGAAGCAGCAGGAATGTCCTGGTTTCTCGCAGCCGCAACGCAGTCAAACGCAACTGTCTGAACCAGGCTTTTCAGGTGTCGCCATTGCTGGGTACTGATTGTTATTTATACTTACTGATTCACTCGAGTTCCTACTTCTGCGGTGTGAAACTAACACGGTGAAAAAAAAACAAAAAAAAAAACAGGACGCTCGTGGCATATAAAATGCCAGCTATGTATGGCCATAGGACGTACAGTCCTCAGATATTACTACTAGGCGAGACTGTCACGCGTTGATGCCACTAAGCGGCAACGCTCGCAACTACAGTACCCTTGGCCGCGCAGGAGCCATCGGCGTCGGGAGCGCGATAGGCATTGTGCTTCTCGCTGGTCCATTTTGCAGCAAAAGGTAGAGAGCTCGCGACCACGTCATTCCATTTCGGTACCCCTTTAACTTGCTTAGATAGCACCGATATCAGATTCAAACATCTGTTAGAGTAACGTTCGTGATCATGGCTTCCCCTCAAGATCACAGGCAATCAACAGTACACCGTAATCTGCTGTTGAAAAGCACACACATAAAACGACAACGCTCGCAACAGCGTCGGCTGCCGCGAATCCGCCGCGGCGAAAGCGGTGTTGCACGCACAAGCGCGCCGCCATGCGGCCGTCTTCTAGCGCGTTCGTTACACTACCCCTTTAAACCTCTGTAGCCTAAGTATGGCGATAACTCACTCTGCCGGTTATGAGCATCCTAGAAATCCTTAAATAATGACGATACGCGGTCGATTTTGCCATTAAAAAAATGTCCGCATCTCCAGGTGGTGAATGATGTTGATTGGGGCGAAGTTCTGGTGGTGCTGATGATACTGATTTTGTTCATAGGTAGTGCTAATGGTGCTGATTTTTTTTTTTATTGCTCATAGGTAGTGCTGAGTTCCGGGTTCCGTTGGTATGGAATGTGTGGTATGGAACGTAATTATATACGCATTTGAGCATTTGACCGCAGCGCCCTCTCGTCTATAAACGTTGAGCCAATGCATGCAAAGTTTAACGCGATTATATACGCATTTGACCGCAGCGCCCTCTCCTGTATAGGCGTTGAGCGGCTACATGCAACGTTTCATCCATGACATCCCCAGCTCTTGAGTTACTACCACATCTCAGAGCCCCCTACTCGTCCCGCAGTCGTGGCCAAGTGCACACTCTAAAAAAAGCCCGTGAGTCTACTCTCTCGCACAGCACTTGGAGAGCCAATCATCGTAACTTACGGAGGCAGCTCAGCGAATGACGATGTCGAAACATATGTTTAGACAAAAAAAAAAAAAAAAAACGCAGTCTGAGTAGTGACATTAAGCAATGCAAGCGTGAGGTTTTACATAGCTTAATGTCACAACTCAGACTGCGTTGTTTGGTCTAAACATATGTTTGGGCATCGTCATTCGCTGAGCTGCCTCCGTAAGTTGCGGTGATTGGCTCTCGGAGTGCTGTGCGGGAAAGTAGACGCACGGGATTTTTTTAGAGTGTGGTTAAGGCGACGGACTAGAAATCCATTGGGGTTTCCCCGCACAGGTTCGAATCCTGTCGACTGCGCAAACATTTTTTTTCTTTTTTTAAGAAGAGAGATGGGATGGCAATCGACGTGAGCACGGACGCCGGACGGACAAGGCCCTAAGGAGCTGCGCCGCTATAAGAGCAATCAAAGATCGTAACACACCGACGTCATTTCCGGCGATGAGAGGAGCATGTTCTGAAACCAGGATCAATGTCAACCAATAGCAAGCGAAGGATCCTCGCACCTCCGACCGGCGGAACCACAGAGTGATATCTCGAATGCGCGCGGGTCGTTGCCCATAGAGCCGCGGGACTACGATTCAAACCAGAGAGCGCGCGCTCGAGAGCTGACGAACGGGCAGATCACTCCTGCGGGGAAAAAAAAAGAGCAGAAAAACTGAGTGCGTTGTTTTTTGATGATTATCGCAGTATTACGTTCCCTCTCCGCGAAAAAAAAAAATTAAAATTTTCGGCTACTCTTACTTGCTTTTATCATCTAAAAAAAGCATACAGATTTTGTAATAAGAGCGTTTGCGATCTCGACGAAATGTCGCGTGCTCATTGGGTCCCATGTCGTCCTGGCTGCCGGAACAATGACCTTCCCATCGCCGGAGAGTACGTCGGTGTGTTCGATCTTTGATTACTTAGAGAAATCGGCCGCGCATCGTTATGATTTATGAATTTCTAGGATGCTTAGAGTCCACAGGGTGAGTTATTTCAATATTTATGCGATCTCAAAAACCTCCGCAGGGCACCTTTCAAAGCAATGGAGCTGTCCCTCATCTCAAAAATGCCAAGTCTGCACGAGCACTGAAGTAAAGCTAGCACTCGACGAATTGGACCGCGTTGGTGAGTTACAGGGATGAAGGAAAAGTTACCGCTTTGAGCGGGCTTTCAACCAATGCACCCAGGCCTGTGGGTCTTACAACAGTTCCTCCAACTTTTGAGACCTGCCTGTGCTTGCGTGCAAATAACCCTCTGAATGTATAAAAGTGCCCTTTGCCCTAACCTGTTCAACGACTAACCAAGATTCAAGCTGAATATGTTTGTTTCCTACCTCCCAGAATTTTCTGCATTCATCGGATACCTCTGTCTTAACCCCCCCCCCCCCCCCCCCCCCCTATTTTTTTTCCTTTGCTCAGCTTTTTTGGAAGCACCGTTGTCGCGGCTCAGGGCACACAGACGGACGGAAGTGACGCCCTCGCTACGTCATAGGTTCCTCCTCCTGAGACTCCTCTTCCCGCCGAAAAAACGAGCGGTTCCGGAGGATCCCGACGAAGTGCGAGGCGGATCGGGGCCCCCCTCGCCCCCGGCCGCCGTACGGAGAACTGGAACGAGGCCTTGTTGTCGGACAACGGCAGCAGCGTCCGCCGAGTGCGCAGCGAGGCAGCCCCCGTGCTCCAGAGACTCGATCTTCTTGCCGCCGACGTTCTTGGCCGGCTGGCTCGGCCGGAGAGAGATCGGCCCGGTCACACGGGTTCCGCTTGTGCTCTGCGGTGCGCGGCGCACTGCCGCTTCGAGAACCACTGTGGATAACGGCGCCAGGCAGGCTCGGTTCATGCCAAGGTGAGTCGTTTCTCGCATTCCCTTCTTTTTGGGAACACCGCGCGAGCGTGAACATGCTGGCATGCACACAGCTGATACATCCCACAAAAAACAGACTGCGGACGCTGTCTCGGGCGTGCTTCTTCATCGTATACGGCAGCCCTGTCATATCCGTCATACAGGACACTAGAGAGTTTTAGGGAGCCGTTTTTGCACACCCGATAAGGTATGATGGGCACTCCGGTACGAACTGCGCATGTGCGAGTCTTCTGCGGTGGCGCATGCGCAGTTCGTACCGGAGGGCCGATGGTATCGTATCGGATGTGCAAAAATGGTTTCCTAAAACTATTACTGTCTGCTGACATGTTAAGACAGGCTTCGAAGGTGCTTACGGCGTGTGTACGCAGATGAAACACTGTCGTCGTGTCTATACTGCGAACACCGTGTCTTTTGTATGATATAAGAGCAGCACGACTTCCTGTGGCAAAACTCTTGATTGGACTAGTTGTTTTACGTAGAGAACGAACTAAATAGTGCTAGCGAGACAAGGGCGAAAAAGTAATAGGCACACGATACAGCAATAAGTGTCGGTAATTCGGCTATGGTCGACGAGAGCTTAAGAAATGCGGGGCGTGACGAGGCGGCCCGTGCATCTCATTATCGCTCCGCAGCCAATGACGTTGCAGATAAAAACGCCAAGGAACCAATCACGAAGGACGAACCATGATCATTATATACGCCACGCTCTGGGTTTTTTTAAACTTGTCCGTTGGTTCGTACTGAAAACTAATTAAATAACGCGAACGAGACAAGGACGTAATGAAGGCCCACGTGTATGCGTCAATGACCGGTGCTGCGTCGTCTCATTATTCATGCAGACAATCGCAAAGGCAGTCGAAGCTGGTAGGCATCTCGTGGAAACGTCGAAAAGTTCAAAGGCGACGTTTCGCTCAAGAGACATTTAGCTTCATCGTCCTATATAAGATGAAGTGCACGTATCTCCAATGAAGCGATCCGAAACCGAACCTAAACTAAGGAACCTTAGATTAATTTGGCACTACTTTCTAAACACATAAAACACGTGCATTAGCGTGTTTCTTTTTTTAATTATTCTTCAGATGAGTAACTGTCCATGAAGCGGCGATTCAACGACTTTTGGTCATAGACACTATTATGACAGCTATCTTGGAACTGGTATGCGTTCTGAAAATTTGGAAACATCAATTAAAGTGCCGTTCTTAGTCACGTTCTGTTATAACTTGTGCCTGAACTGTGGTTCCAGAGATTTAAAAAAACTAACAAACATAGACGCTTTGAAACAGCTGTGCATGGGCGCCGCCCTAACCGACCTTCAATTTTGGTTTCCTCTTCTTACGTTTACTTCACATCATTATGACCGTAGCAGGGCAGGTTATTGCTCTTAAGGTTCTACCGTTTCGATTCTACCATGTCCTCCCTGGTCTTTGTTGAAGCTCGTCAACGACAGTTTCACATGGCTCGAAATCTGGGTAAGACAAGAGAAGGTCAGCAATGGCGGCTGTTATCTGACGCGTGTGTAAAGCGTCTCTACTGGCTGTAATAGCTTTTCTTTTTTTATATAAAAAGGCCATCACAGTTAGATAAACGGTCTTGCGGGAGCTGCCACTGTTTTTAATGTGATAACGTAAGCTCCATTATAATCATAAACGGTGTGTTATTTACAAACAGGATTTTCGATGCTGCTTAATGTCAATATCAGTTTAGGAAATGCAGGACGCGATGAGTCCCGATCATTCAATTGTCACTCCACGGCCAATGAGAAGGCGCCATACGAGTACCGAAAAGCGAATCACAAAGAGAGTAAAAAAGCGCGAAAACGTTTCAAGTGAGTGCTAGTTTTACTAGGCGTTCGCACAAACGAATATACACACAACCTAAACTCGCTACTAGGTTTACGGTATCGGTAAACTGGCGCGAAGCCCTGACTGGACAGCTTCACATTTTGAACGCTTGACACCATCCCTTGGCTTATAAAGAGGTAGTTTTGTCGTGTGAACCTTCAGAGAGCGGGAGCTTTGTCAGGTCCCATGGACGTCTTGTGGCTCCACCGTAGAGCGGAAATTTATCCAGTGCAGCGTGCCACTGTTAGCCTAGGGTCTTTAAGGAGCACCACGCAGCAGTGATACACGACCGCACACCGGTATACGATGCTCCTTTATATCGAAGCGTGCACGAGTGGGGATTTAGCCCAGGATACCTGGATTCTGCAGCGCGACCTTTCGCTACAGTGCGTTAAAACACCCGGCCACCGCTCCTGCTTTTAGCGGCTGCTATGGGAGCACAAAGGAATCACCCGATTTCTTATTCAAATCAGTCAATAAAACGAAGGTCGGCGTCTGTCGGCTGGCGAGGCGCTCGGGGCAAACGTTGTGCTAAATTTAGCGGAGTCCGAAAATCCAAACAGATAAATCGAAATTGATAGACCGTACCACGACACCCAAGCACGGCTACCTCCAGGCCTGGGGTTACGACGGGGGAAGACGATTAAAGAGGTCCGCAGCAAAGTCAACCCCCGCGGGAACATAGTTGAAGTTCGCGCTAAGAATACTCAGTCGGTTGCTGTAAGATCAGATAGGGGCCCTTTTTTCTTTTTTTTTTTAGAGACTTTTCTTTTTTTTTCTGGTGCTAATCTCCGAGCGTGACCTCAGAGGGGCAAAACGGGCTCGACGACCGTTTTTACCGGATGCGACGATTCCCATCCCTTCCGGGACATGTCTCCGGGTCAAAGCACTACATAAGCTAAAAAAGAAAAAAAAAAAAAAAAAAGAGGGGGGGGGGGGGGGTTGTTTTATCATTTATCACCTAAGGTACCGAACCCTTGGAGGCACAAAACCTCGGTAATAGAAAGGTTTCGTAGATTCCTCCGAAAACCTCAATAACTTTACTCGATTTTCCGCCGACGCCTTTGCACATGCATCATCGTATCGTTATCAAAGCGCAAAAACGATAAATACAGAAAAAAAAAATGCTCCCACGATCTTACGCTCCGAAAACAATTGCGTCGTACTCCAAGGAACAAGTTTTCCGTTTACCTTCGTCCAGTTCACACGTCGGGTATGAGAGGCGGAAAAATAAAAATAAAAAACAAACAAACAAAAAACGAACAAGATATTACAACCTGGAACAAGTGCAAAGATATAGAGGAGGCGAAACAAGGATTGACAGCCGTGATAAAAACGTCAACACCTTCCAGTCACGTGTCGAAGGCAAAACGATATTTATTTTCCCCCTACCGGAAGTTCAGCGCTTCAAGATGGCCGCACCCGTGTGGAAAAGGGTTCAGCCTCTAACAGCTAAGGATATGAAGTGCATGGCGAATCACAGTCATCTCATTATCGCTCCACAACCCATAAAAAACTGCGGCATTAAAACCCCGCAAAAGGAATCGCGAAGAAAACAACGTGAACATGGAAAGTCACGCCTTGCGGTTCCCTAGCTATCGGTGGCTGGATTGACACGAAATAGTCAAATCTCGATGGGGTACGCTACGGTCGCCGTCCATGTAAACTGAGCCATTCTGGACGGTTTACCCTGCCTAAAGCGAGAGACGAAGGTTCAGTTTTAATCTTTGTCAACTAGCGATCATCGCCGTAAAGCGAAAGGGATATTTTGATCGGGACGATTTCTGGCTTCGTAGAAAGCATTCGGTTGGTGGTGTTGGGGCGACATTGTCGCGTGATCCAATTGTGTCTGAATTGTTGCTAGCGTAAATACGAGTAAATTCTTGGCGCGATAGCTGTTCATAGAACCTTCGAACGTTTCAAGGAAGCTACATTTTCCCTTAAAGAAAGAATTTATCGCTTAAAAGTCTGTCGACGATATCGACAGGAGTAGCATTCATAACGGTTCCCAAAGCAAGAAGTTAGGGTGGCAAATCGACAATTATAATGTTGTGTATTTATGCTTTATACTTCTACATTTTGGTCTATAGATATAGGCGAGCAGTAAGTAAATGCTGTATTTCAATAATTGAAGGAGGCGATTATATTTTTAAACACATCCGGTGCCTCGGTATTATAAATAAAACAAACAATAGAAACAAAACTCGTTTTTTATCGCTCTTGCTCGTTAATTCAAGGAGTTTGCAGGCCAAAGTTTACCCCAAAATTACATATCGCCAAGATAACATGATTAATGCCGCATTGATCAGTACGCCAAAGAATCTATTTATAGATGGACATATCGTTGGAGTTAATAAGTGCTAATTATCTCAGAGTAGCGTTTGTATTCAAATGAAGCGGTTTTTTTTTTTTTTTTTCTGGGAGAAGTTGCTATTCCCCTTTAGATAAAAGGATGCCATTATGGGGTGATGCTTTGGAAGAGGGTCGATAAAAAAAAGTGTACGGAAGAAAGCATTTAGGACAGTTTCAAATTTAAACGGTCATACACGTTTCACGCGGGTCACCGTATATCATAAACTTCACTGTTGGTAAGCTCTGCCAGTTTCGTTTGATCGCGATACGTGACAGCAAAGGAAAGCACACAAGGCATCGTAAACAAAGGCGCAAATAATTGCACGCGCGAGTTGAAATGCGTACTGCACAGAAGGCTAGAGACTCCAACGCATAGCTTGGACAGTTGCCCCTGCCGATCAAGATTTCGCTGGAGTACCCCTTTCAAGGTGTTACGTTGAGAAAATGAATCCTTGATATCTCAACACAAGGTTTCGATCGTCCTTCCGGAGGTGTTCTCGAGAATGACACCCGCGTACGCCCCCACGTCGGAACGTGTAAATACATATAGGTACGATTGAAGAACCATCTCCCGGATCGTCGCCTCAGATTACTTCCAAAACTAGGGCGCGCACGCGTATACGCATTCCACGCGTGCTCGAAGCATTCGCGATCGGGTGAGGAGCCTCGTGCGGCTCTCCATCGAGCCACTCCCGAGGCAGATATAGATTACTTAGTGTCGCCAAACTGAAGCTCGGCAACCTCCTCGCGTCGCACCGAAAGTGTACCGACCCGTCCTTTACACGCTCG